CACTAGGACTGTCAGGAAAAATCCCCTTAAATTTTCCGGCTTCTAGCTTTTCTAGTTTCTGAGTTAGCAACTTACTTGCCAAAATTTTCACTGGCGCGTACGTGAGAACTACGCACACCTAGGAGCTAATTCCGAACTCATTAAGTCCTACTTGGGCAGGGGACATCCCCTTAAAATTTCAGCCATTTAGCTTGTACGGTCCTCAAGTTAGCAGCTTACTTGCCAAAAACTTTGGAGGCCCGTACGTGGAAACCATGCGAGTAATTCCTTAAAATTTCAGCCTTCTAGCCTGTACGGACCTCGAGTTCGACAAAAACTTTGAAGGCCCGTACGTGGGAACCATGCGAATAAGAACGACCATTTTGGGAGTAGGGACCCAAATGTGCGTGTAGATTAAGTTCCCAAAGTTCCAGTCTTGTATCTTTTGTAGGTTTCGAGATGAAAAACTGGCACAGACGAAAACACAGACACATACACATATGCACGCAAACACATACATACACAGATAACCCCTCGACAGTATGCGTTTTTGCATCGCATAAATGCAAAAAATGCATAAAAAATCTAAACCGTGCTAAGCAAGAAAACAGAGTGGGAGTAGCTAAAAGTAACTTTTTAAGGTTTGTAACTTTTTAGCTTTATAACTTCTTCGAGGTTTCGAGCGAACGCACTGCGCAGAAATTCATGAACTCATTGCTATCGCTGAATAAGCAACATACTTATCACCGTAGAAGTATTTGTTATCGCCGAGTTTTGCTGATAACAAATTGATTGCCTCAACAGCATCGAGCATTATCTGGGTTTCGTTACGGCCACACGCTGCAATGTATGCTTGTGCTCGTCGACGACGCTTTTCCAAATAGTACAAATTATAACCGAACAGCATCTGCTTCGAGTACCAGTGATGGGTTATTGCCGAATAATTGTACGGGTCGAGCCACAAAAATTGCAACTGAAATTACAGCAACAAATGATCCTCCGTGCAAACTTAACTTCCAAAAAATCACTGGAAAAAGGATAAAAAATACACATTTTAAAATATCCAATACACATTTTAATATAAAAATTCATATTTTTAAATAACTAATCTGTAAATTATTTCGCTGCGATTTAGGAACGTTCAGGAAGATGCCAATATTAAGTACACAACAACGAGGTTTCGACTGACTAAAAGCCTGGATAACATTAAGCTGGCCCTTTGCGAACTGGATCGGACATTAGGATCGCCAGTAGGCTGACCATCGAGTAAGGGATCACTGATCAATTTAAATGGAAGGGTTATCAGATGTAGAGCTACAGAACCGAACTAAGATTATTCCAAGTATAATGTTAGGTAAAATGGTAAAGAAACGAACTAATAAGACGACAAATGTTAAATCCGGAAAATAGAGAGCAGAAAATGCGGGGAGAAAAGCGTAAATTGTAGGGAAGTGGTTCGGTAATAAAGCAATAAACCAGAATTCTAGATGACAATACCCCAATTGTGTTTTATCCCCAGAAAACTCCCCCAACAAAGCTAGGTATTACAAAAAAATACCAGAAAAAAAAACGATGGAACTAATATATGTGAAGAAGATGGCAATGCTAATGCCCCACTGGCAAATCTATGTCAAAAGCAATTTATAAAAACTGCCCTACAGCTTTTATAATAATTTTCCAACAGTAACAGATAATAAGTTTTGAAAAAATGGCTGGTACTATAGCAATAATCAAATATACGAGAAAAAGAAGATGCATAAGAAATGATTATAAATAAGCAAGTTTTTACGATAAACTTAAAGCTGCTGCGATGAGAATGAAGAGCTTGAGAGAGCCAACCTCGGCAGGATAAAAACTGCGTAGCATCAAGCTTGAGTAGGCCTCGAACTCACATCTTTCAGCCAGAGTCAATTCACTGTCCAGTACAACTTCCTGAAATAGCTAAAATTTCAACAGTCTGAAGTTGCTTTCAAAGCTACTGTCCATACATGCGAATTAAAATAACAAAAAACACCAAAGAGATTGCCAAAACTGCCAAAACAGTTTAATATGGCACCGAAATGCAACCATGTAATGAAAAAATTTCAGTCTGCTAGACTCCGTGGTTCCCGAGACATTAATTTACCCGTAAAAAACTTTCACGGAGCCGTACGTGTTACCCGCGGGTACGGGAAAGCTAAATTTAAATGGGTAAGGTTGAGCGTGGGCAGGGGGTTATTACCCTAAACTTTTAACCTCTTCGACTCCGTGGTTCCCGAGATATTAACTTACAAGTGAAAAACTTTCACGGGGCCATACGTGTTATCTGCAGGTACGGGAAAGCTGAATTTAAATTTGCGGAGTCACACGTGGGTGGGGAACGTTCCCCTAAATTTT